CTTATCATTTTGGAATTCTCCGGGAATCATAAATCAACCTGAGATTAACAGATTAGCCCTCTCGGATACAATTTCTACCTAGCTGCAAAGAACTAAGTGGCTTCATTACGTGTGTATAGTTGGTGCGTTAAAATTACGTTTGCTTAACCGTAGTAGGTGAAAGCAGTTAACGGTTTTCCTCGCAGTTAGCAGCTCGAATACCTTCTTATTTATGGTTATTTGACTGTTTTGTTTGAATATGGTAAATAACAATTGAATAAATTAATATTTAATAATTTTTTCTGAAAAATTTCGAACAATATTTAATATGGCGCAAAATTTATCGCAATTTGTAAACTTGATTACATGATATTATGATTCAACTTGAGTTGAAACATGGTTTAATTTAAGAAATTACTTATATCATGGTTCAAGGTTGAACTGATTTTTCTAAAATTGAATCCATTAACTAGTTGTATATAAGAAATCTTGAGCGTTCAAAGCATTTGCGAAAAAATAATGTGAAAACTGCCTTTGTGAGAAAATAAAATTTGCAAACTACAAAACCAATAAAAACTTATTCTTTCAAGAAAATTTAAATTCAAAACCTTTTTTTATCATTTATACAAAAAAAAATTATTAAGTTTCTCAAATAGTTAATAAGTTTGTATTTTCCAAAAGAAAAAAAAAAACTTTGATTTTAATAATATTTCGTTTCACGTAAAAATAAAAAAAAAATTAGCTGAAAAAAAATTCAAATGAATAAATAAAAAAAAAAAAAAAAGCTGAAAAAGAAACAAAAAAATTCAAATATTCAAATGAATAAATAATCATATAAATGGATAAATAAATTTTTAATAAATTTTCTGTTTGTTCGATACCCCTAATGTATTTTTGGCTTCTAATACTGCTTAGAATTATCGGAGTTTCACTTAATAATAAAAATTTCCAATTATTTTAATTATTAATTTACTGCAACTTTAACTTTTATAATTCCAATTTAGATTAACAATCTATTTCATTAATTTTATGTCTCTTTCCGACTGACCAATATCAATATTACTTTTCAATTTCCGTGCGTTAAATATTTCTGTTGAAAGGAAAGTTCAAATAAGACATCAAGAGCTACGTAATTTTTAATCTAGTAGCCATACACAAAATACAGATGACAATGATATATCGTTTACATTAAACAAATTTTATTCCTTCAGATTTTTGAAGCTGAAAATAAAACGAATACACAAGCAATCATAGCTATAGCGTTTTTTGATATAAATTATATAAGGTTACAATAATTGTTTGCCACATAAGTACGCTATGAAACACACTGTGCTCATTTTTCAGTACAAGAAATCTTCGTATATCACATGTTTTTATAAACATTTGCTTTTTTTAAATTGATTATTGGTTTCTTAGTTTTGAAATTAAAAAAAAAATACCTTTTGCTCCTGCCTTTTGCTCCTGCCATAAACGGAGCAAAAAAAAAAAAGAATGACAAGTTAATTTGTGGTAAAATTAACGAAATACTTCTAGTATTAACTTTACTTTAGTATTGCGCAACTTTATTAAAGTAACTTTAGCATTTTGACAAGCTCCATAACAAAACAAAAAATGACGATTGTTTATCCAATTGCTAGATTCAGAAACAATAGTGAGATATAGTAATCGAGGAGACATTAGTATCCTCTGTTATTTTATCCCAGAACCTGCCAGCTCTAACATTTTAAAATTTAAAATGAATTAGAAAAAATTATTTGTTCTTTATTAAACTGGAATATAAGAACATATTTTAACTAAAGCAAAAAACGTGATTAAAATACAAATGAAAATACAGAAAAAAACTCATTTTACAGTTTTAATTCTATAAACAAGAACCTTTCTCATTGTGTAAACATCAAATGCACTGTAAAAAATTCCTGATCAAATTACGATAAAAAGTACCCGCACTCTGAGTGCCGGTAATTTTGCAGTAAAATAATTTTTTCCGGAGAATGTTACGGAACAAAAAAATCTGATATACCGTAATTTTTACAGTAATAATTACAGTAAAATCACTGAATCACTCTATTTAAATAAACATTACTATAAAAATTAAAGTATATTTTAGAGTAAAAATGGATTTTATGGTAAAATGGATTTTACAACTGATACACCGAAAGTGCCGGTACTTTATACCGTAATTTCATGCGGAATTTCTTTTTACAGTGCGTGTTTAGACACTGGGAAAGGTTCTCGTTTATGGAACCGAAACTACAGCGTGTCCTTTTTCTGAATTTTCATTTGTGCTTTATTAAGATTTTTTTTTCTTTAGCCAACATGCACAAAGTATATCCTATCCCTTTAAAATATTTTAGCAATTCATATTTAATTTTTGAAATTGTTTGTTGAACGCATTTTTTATTAAACTTTTTCCTTTCTGAACTATATATTGATGTCTCGACTAAGAAGACTGAAAAATCAAGTTTCAAATCATTTAAAAAAATAAATCTTCCTGCCGTACCGTATAATATTGGTTATCCAAAATGCAACCCACGGTAACAAGATTAACAGTAAAGAGGATTCAATTATTTCCTTTATAGTTCGATTCTGAATGAGAGAAGCCAATTGTCTCACCCTGTATCTTCCTTTTCAGGAAGTCAAAAAATCAGGCTTGGCAAAACAATAACAAACTTTTTTCTGTGTTTAAAATCTTTAAAATTTATTCATTTCCTTTTAATATCAATCTTATAATTCGTCGCAATTTAGAAGCAGTTACAAAATCTGAATATTCTATTTTAGTCTAAAAATTTTACAAAATCTTTTTTTTAAAAAAAGAATCCTAAACTTCAGTATAAAAACAAGATGGGAACAATAAAATGTAAGTAATTACTATGATACTACAGAAAGTTCCTTAATGGCTGCCGTTAATATGAATATTTTTAGAATCCATGTCAAGAAATTAAGTTCATTTCGGTTTGTAAATGATTTAAAATAAAAACACAATCGAAACCTAACGAATCTCAATTCAGTAAAACGGTGCTAAAACTTGTTTGGTTGCGGAGGAAACAGGGAATGGAAAGATTCTATTTAAAGACATCTCCAAGCTTCATTAAGCAATCAAACTGGTTTTAATGCCTTTCATCCACCCTCCCTAGAGAGTGATTCGGCATATTTCAATTGTATTTTTGTTAAGTATTAATTTGTAAACTCCATATTTTTATGCCGTTTTGACATGGATTTTATAACTATTTAATAAAAGCGGACATTACGAAATACACGGTATATTATTCTCCTTTCTTCATTCAAATGACATTTCATGTAAGAAATTCATTAAATTTATCTAATTCCCTGTATTTTAGCTTAAAATAAATAACACGGATCCTAAAAGAACTAATTCTAACTTAAACAGGTAATTAATAACGCATTACTCTTAATAATATAACTTAAGAAATAGGCATTAGACTTTTGTATAGTGTTTAAAAATAAGTGAAGTGCTGCAAGCTTTGCTTCATAAGAAAACCTCTAAACTTTTATGACGAATTATTTTTAAAATAACCATCCTTCCAATTGTTCCATTGATATAAAATTTTAATATGCACGTTTCTATTTAAGCTTGCTTAAATGTTTAAAAGCATTTGACTTAAAACCTTAATTTTCAAAGCATTTGACTGAACATTCCCAAACTCCAAGCATTAAAGTATTACAATACTCTCAGATTAATTTTATACAGAGATTAGTTCTTCTGAATATTGTAGTTAAAAATAGAAAAAATAGTCTTAAAAATTTCTTTTCAAAACATTATCTTGCAGCTACGAAATCTTTAATAGAATAAATGAATTGAAGAAGTATTTTATATATTTGATTGAAAAAAGTCATTAAAATGCAGAAAATAGATAAATTGATTTTTCTGCAAGTAATCGTACAAAATTGAGCTTGCCTTATGCCTTCATGTATGATGATTTCTTGCTTTTTAAGTGCGCTTTAATAATGTTCAAAAAGGGAACCATGTTATCTTGAGTCTTTTAAAATTAATTAGATGAGTTTTATTTAATATTTATTTAGTAATCATTTCATTGTGAAATTTTAAACTGGCTCTATATAAAACTCTAGCTTCTAATTCCCTGTAGAGAAGTAAACTAATATTTAAAACTTGTTCATTTAGTTATTACACTTACAAATTTAAGATGGCATGAGCCCTTTACAGCTTGTATAAAAGCTAAATTTTTGTTCCTTTTAAATAAAAAGAGTTATTTTAGCTTAAGTTAATAAAGAACTTATTCCTAGATGTAGCATACTCAAAATTTAAAAAAAAAACTAGTTATTGAATTGCAGCTATCATTAGATAGAACTTTTAGACAAAGGAAAAAAAAATAATGTAAAGATTACTAAAAGAAATGATTGCAAATTATGCTTAATAGTTTGTAATAAAAAACTACAAATTAACTTTGCAAAAATGCTTGCAGTTATGAATAATTAATTTTGCAAAACTATTTAGTGCATCCTTTATGCATTCAATTTTAGTATTAAAAAATTACTTTTAAAAAACCGAAATATACTTCATATTTAAATAATTCTTTGTAATTATAAAACTCTGTCTTGTTAATGTCGATATTCGGTGAAAAATATTAGAATATTAGGCTGTTGAAAAAATTTCTAATAAAAGGTGTTTTTCCTTCTAATAAAAAAGTTTCTAATAAAACCAATAAATTTTTGTTTCTAACGAAAAAGGGAAAAATATAAATATATATATTATATTTAATATTTAAATTAGTATGAAACAAAAGTATAATTTCCATTTTCCTTTCATCACCTTTCACACATTTTAATGTGCAAAAGGCTATTTTTCGTTATTAAAAAATATCTGTTTTTTTCAAGTGACCAAATGCAAATTTTATTTGTTAAAAAGTTACAGTATTAAAATTTGATTATTTACATCGCTTTAAAAAAAATTAACTGCGTAGAAAAATAAAAAATTTAAATATTTATGAGAAAATATTTAGTAAGTATTTAAAAAAACATTTCAAAACCAAATTTTGAATTTTTTAAAATTTTCTTTTAAAGGAAAATTTTGGAACATTTAAACGAATAATTGAGATTTAAATCAAATGTGCTTTTAGTTTATTCCAGCTCACGTGAACTAGAACGGGTAAGGGAAAAATGTTTTCACTAGCCTAATATCGACAACCTTTTCGACAACCTTTTTTGAATGTTGATTTATAACAACATTTATTTATATGCCGTTGACTCAGAACAACAACAACATTTATTTACATGTTGTTGACTTACAACATTTAACTTATATCTTATATTAGTTATTTCTAAAAAGCTAAATGCCTGTAAGGCAGTTACAAAATTATTTTTCTTACAGTAGTTATGACAAAAAAGCTTTAAATTTTAACTTAGACGTAAGTTGCTCATAAACTATTAATATTAATATGAATAAATATTCTTTTCCTTCATAGTCTACAAGAATCCAATATGCTCTTCTCTTCAGCTAAGCTTATGCCAATAACGAATTTGCTTGTGTCCAGCTGCCATTGCCTCTTCCCAATGGTCAAGGCCTTTTCCACGGGAGAACATGTAAGGACCCAAAACAATTCGACCCAGGCAGCGAGCTAAAATGGAAGAAAATTTTTAGTATGAAGTATTATCAGATTAACTTATAAGTTATTACAGTACAAATTTTTTTTCTTCATAAATTAAACAAAATTTAATGAAAAACTTTTTTTAAATTATATATTGATATGGCATGCGAAAAATAATTGTAGAGCATAGGGAATGAAGATTCTACGTAAAATTTGTGAAGGAAAAACAATTGAAATTTCAAAAGAAATTTTTTTATTTTAGTCTTCAAGAACTGTACAATATTAAGGCCAAATTTATTTCGCAGATCTCGAGTGAAAGAAGGTTCCAAACGTATCTGCATTCAGAACATAAAAGAACTTTTTTTTTTTTTTTTTTTGAAATTGCAACAAAAAAAGTCCGAATGGACTATCACAAGGCTATTTTTCGGAAGCCCAATCGTCAGATGAAATGATGCTTTTTGCGAATAATATGCTATTTTCATAACTGCTGTGAGTTTGCAACAATCAATCAAATTTAGTCTATCTATTGCCAGTTCTCTCTATGTTTATTATGCGCAAAACATCAATATGGAGAAAAGCCACAGTTTTGTTAAAATGAAAAGCGCTTGTCTAATTTTTTTTGAATATTTGAAAGCTTACTCCAAAGCTGCATTATCCAGGCTCAGAAAAATTTGTAAAAACTGAGAATAAAGCAATGATTTCGACAATTTTCATTAGGTAAAAAAATGTCGCCAAATTGGCGATTTTTAAAAAAGTTTAATTACTTTTAAAATACCTTTGTTTGTTCTAAAGCCTAGATAAGACGAGATGATATGTATAGCTTAAAATTATAGTTTTGCTGAAAGTGCAATGCACTTAAACTGTAGAAAAAAAAAGAAAAATATATTAAAATCTGTCGAATTAGTTGAATTATACTAGTGAAGAAGACGGGATAAAAAACATCAAAGCCAGTAAGTTTGTTACTCTGTTTCCGGAGATCACACAGGCTTTAGAGTTTTTATTATCGTCTTTTTCAGTAGCGGTTCGTTAGTTTTTTTTTCCTCGTTTACATTGTAAACGAACATTATGGGAACTCTTTTGCTTGCATTTTTCTTGTTTCATTTCTGACAATGATTTAAGAATTCATTTCAAAAATGTACATCAAGAATAGTAATTACGGAACACGCTTTAAATTCACAAATAAAAATCTGGTCCAATTTTTTTAGGAACTATCACAGAACTTTTTTTAAAAAAAAATTCAAACATTATTCAAAGAATATGTTTCAAATAAGAATTTTGATTAAAAAAAATGTATTTCCTCTATTGAATGCAACCATTAAGTTAAGAAGTATTATTGAGTTTCTGTCAATATTTTTTTTTAGATGATTATTATAAAAATAATTTTATACACATTCTACGAAATGGAAACGGATTACTGAAAAAATGTTTAAAAAAGATAGGGACTATTTTGAAAAGTAGCTTAAATTTGTTTAAATATTATTCTTTTCATCAGTTTTAAAACAAATGCTTACATTAACTTTCTGTAAAAATAGAACACGAAGTTGAAAAAAAGAAAGAAAAGTATTTACAGAATTTTTTGTAGTCTTTCATTGAAATGAAAAGATAAAAACCAAACCTCGAAGAAGAAGTTAAAAGAGTTTTCCGGCGAGGAGCAGAGAATTCTCGAAACTCATGTTCCCTTTTAGCCTTTTGCAGGAAAATCCTGTTTTAGAGAACGACTTTTATGGGTTTTTCTGTTGTCAGACATTTCCGTCCATGTGATTCGGGCTCTTGAGAAAGTACTTTCCTATGCAGAAATTTTATTTCAACAGAACGAGAAAACTTAACTCTTTGATGTCCTTTTCAGCGGGGACCATGTGATCTGGATACGAAATGGCACGTCTGTTTGTTTCATTTAAGATTCTGACTGTCACTAAAGTGGCGCCTCTGCATTTGATGACTGCTACATTTGCAATTGTTAAAGAGAATTTTAGTTCAAAGGTTAACTCATATTTTTCTGCTTCTAATGGAATAATAAAGTCACTATAATTAATTAGTATGATTTGATTACTTTCTACTTGAATTTTCGTCTGTTTCTTAATATACCAAAAGAAGTAAAGTCCTTACCACTTTCACCATCATTATGCAAAAGTTTTGTTCGACTAAATTTTATTTTTAAAGTTCTTTTTTAACCGCGAGTACTGAACTTTCGTTCTTTGCCTTGGAAGATGTCGGGAGTGTTGCTCATTTAACGTTACCCTGTGGGCACTTGTGACCTAAGCCACGGAGGCGAGCAACATTACCCACTTCACATTGCATTGCCACAGATACCCGTTCATACGTTGGGCCACATTCAGACAATAGAGGGCAACACATAGAGAGAAATATCCATGCCCTGAGCGGGAATCGAACTCACAGTCATGCACGCTAATCGTTCTGTCACCTGGCCGACTTATTTCGAAAGTAGTTTTACTCCTTAAACCAGAAGACAAGTATTTATGATATTTTAAACTATTTTCATTTAGTTAAAACATTACGGGGTATTTTAAAAATACCACGTAATATCTAATTTTGATAAGAAAAACTAAAATTTTCAAATGAAAATCATGAATTTTTTTATTGTATCTTAAAGTATAAACACTGTCAAAAATTTTGGATCAAATTATGGCATCATCCATAAAATCTATTTCACCGTAAAATATTTTACTATAATTTTTACAGTAATATTTATTTAATTAGAGTGATTCAGGGAATTTGCGCTAATTATTACAAAAAAAAATGACGGTATATAAATTTTTTTGATCAGTAACATGTTCCGGTAGAAATGAATTATACAGTAAAAAATACGATATTTTTACTGGAATTTGATCTGGAATTTTTTACAGTGTAGCGTGGAGAATAGATGAAAACGTATGTTTGCTAGAATAGCATAATTTTCAATGGCCGTAGAGCTGAATTTTTTCGATACAGTGTTTAATTTCTTCCTTCAAGGCGTGGACGGTTGAGGATTACTGTCATCAACCTTAGACTCAAGACGTTCCTACTGCGTTAAATTGTACTATTAAGTTGCTGGAATAGTTGGTAAAATTATCAATTAAATAGTGCTTTATAATGTGTGTTAAAATTTAGTAAATGTAGTAAAATTTGGTAATTTTATCACGATATCTTAGAGCATTATTTAAAAATCATTTATTCGGTTAAATTTACTTTTCAGTTTTGTATTTTTGCTAAATGAGTAGTAATAAGATTGATAATTTTGAAAACCATAATTCCCAGTAAACAGTTACCATAAGAAAGGAAAAATTATTAAATGAATGCTTTAATTACCATATATTTTGCTTTTATTGCCAATTTCTTTTCTTTTTTTTTCTTTTACCAGAAATGTCTTTACCTCACAATACAATAATTTTACCAGAATATTTCTTCCCCGAGCAGATTTACCTAGGTAATTTAAAAAATGAAGCAATTTTTCGGCACCTTAACTTCAGTGTTTCCCAAAGTGTGGTACGCGTACCCCCAGGGGTGCGGGAACAGTTTAGCGGGGGTATGTATTCTGTTGTGAAATATCTTGCAGCAAACGAAAATTTAAAAAAAAAAATTTATTTAAAAACAGAGCTAGTCATGAAAATGTAATATTAAGTATTTTCTATTGGCTATTTTTTGCAGAGTTAACAGTTAATACTTAGTGGTGTCAACAGCCAGTTGTGATTTTTAATTTTATTCTCCATTNCGAAATATCTTGCAGCAAACGAAAATTTAAAAAAAAATTTATTTAAAAACAGAGCTAGTCATGAAAATTTAATATTAAGTATTTTTCTATTGGCTATTTTTTGCAGAGTTAACAGTTAATACTTAGTGGTGTCAACAGCCAGTTGTGATTTTTAATTTTATTCTCCATTCTAAATAAACATGTTTTTAAAAAAATACGTTCCTTTTTTTTATTAGTGGTACACAGCGTTACGAAAAATTTAGAAAGGGTGCAGTAAAGTCATAAGTTTGAGAAACACTGCTTTAGTTAATCTGTACATTAGCTTGATATTCTGTAGAATAACTGAATACTCTTTGGTGGTAAAAGATAGATATATTGGACAGAACTTGCAATGTAAACAAAACGCAGTAAGTTTACTTTTGTCTTTTATCCCTGCTTGAAGTATCTGTATGGTGATGCTGCACAAGTTGATCGAATTTTTGGACATCTTGAAATGGAATGATTCGTTGTATTTGGGATCACAACTGTTCTTGCAAACCATTGTTTTCTTAGTCTTTACTACTTTGTTCTCTCGCATGAATGTTATACGAGCCACAGTATCTAAAACAAGAATTAATGTAAGCATAAAAATACGAATAGTATATTTGACAGTTTTAAGAAAACCAAGTTTAAATTTTTAACAGCTTTCTTTCCTTCTGTTATTCTCCAAAGGTGTACCTAAAATATGGTTCTGAACGAAACATGATATACTTATACAGCTTGTGAACTTGATTTTTTTAAACGTTTAATGTATGCAAAAAACAACTAACAAGGGAAACTAGGGAAGTGTGACTCGCCAATTTTGAAATAAACTAGTGGGATGTATGCCTTATAAAGGATAATTTTAGGGGGCAACATTCGTTTCGGCCCATAGAAGGTCCTGTGAGAGATAAAAAATAATTCAATATATGGAAAAATCGGTATTTTATTACTTCAATGCGGACTATTAGTTATCATAATTATCTCATACTCCAATTAATTTTGTGGTACTTTTACGTACTATATAATGCATATTTATTGTCAAATTGATTTCGAAAATTTTATATGTCTGTAGTTTATCAGAAAAACCTGTTAGGTTAATTTATAAAAAAATTAACATCAAATTTTTTAAATTTTTTTTTCAAAGAATTTTCCAAATTAATTGGAGTACGTAATTGCAAAGCAATCAATTAATTAATGAATAATTAATTAATAATAAAATAATAATTAAATAATAATTAAATAATAATTAATAATTAACTATCAATTAATTAATAATTAATTAATAATTAATTAATAATTAATTAATAATTAATTGATAATTAATTAATAATTATTTAATAATTAAATCACTATTAATTCATTTGCGAATTAATTTATAAATTAGCAAATTAACTAATTAACCAATTAATTACAAATTAATTGTAGTATGAGACAATTACAATAACTAATAGTCTGCATTGAAGTAATAAAATACCGATTTTTCTATATATTGAATTATTTTTTATCCTTCCAGGACCTTCTATGGGCCGAAACGAATGTTGCTCCCTAAAATTATTCCTCATAAGGCATACATCCCACTAGTTTATTTCGAAATTGGCGAGTCACACTTCCCTAGTTTCCCATGTAAGTTGAATCCAAAGGAAATTAAGGGTGTACTTCGAAAGGAAAATAAGGGTGTACATACACGTAGAATGAAATAAAAGCAAAGAATGTGAATGAAGCACACGTGAAGGTATAGAAATGGACATACTATACTGGATTCAGTTCTATAAACAAGGGTCTTCCTCAGTGTCTAAAAACTTAAGTAATTTTTGGTGTTTTAACATTAAAGAAGATTCTCGCATTTAGAGCCAAAATAATATATAGTATTAAGACGCTAAAGAAGGTTCTTGTAAATAGAACCAAAAGAATTTTTCGCGTTTAGACTCTAAGGAAAGCTCTTGTATATACATTTAAAATAATGTTTGGAGTTTAGACGTTAAAAAATGTTCTTCTTTATCGAACCGAAACCATAACATGTTTATTTCAAACCTATATCGCATTCTTTTGTTTAAATTTATGTATGGGAGAAGATCTAAATTAAAAGAAATTAAAAACAATAAAGTTCGGTACATTAAAAAAAATTCCGGATCAAATTCCGGAAACAAAAATTAGCACCCTGAGTGAAACATTCGTAAAATCCCTTTTACCGTAAAATCCAACTTTACCGTAACATTTCATAATTTTTACATTGATATTTATTTAATTGCAGAGATTCAGTGATTTTACAATAAATATTACTGTAAAAACTACGGTTAACCAGACAGTAAAATGGATTTTACGGTAAAATGCACTGATACCCAGAGTACCGATACCTTTTACCGATATTTGATTAGGAATTTTTTACAATGTAGTTTAATTTCAATTAATTAGATTTCAAGAAAATGCAGTAAATATTTCCTTCAAAAGCTATTATTTCTTTTTGATAAGAATTATTAAATAAGTTCATATCACGGTTATAGCTTCTCATTCATTTTATTAACTCGTATTTCCTCCCTTTTTTCTGCTGTCTTAGCACTGTGATAAGATTCGATCTCTCTTTTTCCCAGCGAGAATTTTATTCCTTTTTCTCCAGAATGTCGAAAGCAAATAATTAAAGTGACAATGTGCAAATACGTCGTTTTCTCTGGAATATATTTGTTCTCGAATTTCTATTTAACTTTATAAAAAAAAGCGATAATAAGCTTAAAATATTTACACTTAGCATTATAATGTTTCAAAACACTTCGGAAACACAATGTGTTTGAAAAATGCAGTACATCTTTACTATTAAAAAGAATATCTGTTTTGAACTGATTTATTAGCAGCTTAGGGATACTTAAAGCACACAGGGATGATTTAATTTATTTAAAAAAAAATACACTTGTTAAAAACAGTTTTTTACGTAAATGAGTATGTATAATAATTTCTAAGTAACTAAATTTAATAGAATAGCTTTAAATTTCTATGAACAACTTTATACGAACTAACGTTTAACTTTAGTTTAAACTAATTTACAAGATTAATTATGCAGCGAAAGACATTAATTTGGTATGGAATTCTACTTGAAGTAAACGGGAACCATATGATGAAACACAATTTAATGAAATTTACCATCCATTCGCGAATGTATAATTAACAGAATTTTGACTTTTGCAAAGACGTTGAATAACTCTGATATAGATTAAAGCTAATTTAAGTAGAATATTCGTGCTTACAAGGCTGTTGTATATCCGTTGATAATTAGGAAGAATTATTTTGGTTAATTCAGCTTCAAATCAAATATGTTGTTATCAAGTTTAAATTATGAATTTTGCGATGAAAATTACCCGAGTTGTGGTAACAGTTAAATACTAGTTTCCAACGAAACAAAAAAGTCTTACCGAGTTGCTTGAATCCAGCGGGCATTCTGAGACTCTTGGCTTCACAGACAGTCACTATAAGGCGTTCTAGATTCTGGTTGTAGCAAAGACTGAGCATCATCTCCCCCAGGTCACATGGGACCTAATTAAATGAGAACAGTGTTACTTCGTTTAGCTGAAGGCTATTGTCTTCTAATGGAAAACTTTAAGGGAATATATTCCATAAGATTTGAGTCGAAATTTAGCTTTAAAGTTTTGTACAATTCATGAATTATAACTGGATAGTAAAATTCATTGAGAAAGGTCCCTTAAAAAGGCTCATTTTATTAAAAAAAATAGCTGAATACTCATTCTCCGTATGGGTTAAAAAAAAGAGAAATAAATCAGTATTAATCAGCACTACGAAATCATGCACACTACTGAAAAACATATACTGACACAATTAGTTAAGCTATAAAACTATTCCAATTTTTTTTTATTTGCTGCGCGTCCCAAAATTCCTTTATGTTATTGGAGTAAGAAAAACATGTTTTTAGAATTTCATTTCTTCAAAATAAAGACTAATTATATTCAGTATCATTCGGCATAATGCTGTTGTTTGAGGTCAGCTGTTGAAAGTCAAAAATTGCCTAATTTCAAGTCAGATAGTCAAAAATTATACCACATTATATTTTCGCAGGTACTTGTGCTCTTCCCGGTAGCATTATCAGATAAAGAAAATCATGTTTTTGGAAGTTCATCCTTTCAAAACAAAAATAATAGTTTTCAGTATTATTTGGCATTTTAGTATCATTTGGCTATTGCTCGAGGCTAACTTCTGATAATCAAAAAGTAGCCCAATCTACAATTTTCTCCGACACGTATCCATTCCGTTGGGTACCATTCCTTTCGATACCCTTTCCAATCGATTTTCACAGTAGTATCCATATCAGTATATTTAGTACTTATTAAAAACATGAAAACATAATAGTTATAGAAAATATCAAAGCACCTTCGGTGGTGCAGTCGTTTAAGACGTCACTAATACCATTGATTAGAGAGCTGAGGGAAATGAGTTCGAACCTGTTGGACGACAAAATAACTGACGCATATACGTCCCAAGGTGCAAATTAATCGGTTGTGACTGAAATCTTATCGTTGGTCGTGGCAGAAGTTTGGAGAGAGGGGTGAAAGCTCAGACGCTATCTGTGTCATCTGACCTGGTTCAAAATTTCGTGACATTCCTACCATGAACGTTAAAAGGTAGAATCCAAAAAATGGGGCTAAGTGCTTGGGTATGGTGGGGAGAAAATGTTCAATAACAATATAGCAATTTTTACGTTTTACGTATACAAATAAATACCTTTTCTCCAACTGTCAAGCCTTTAAATAAAATTTTTGTTTATTTAAAGTTACACCTGTCATCAAAATTGGTTAATAGTAACTTTCGAAAATAATTACTGATAACACGATTATTCTTATTAATAATATTTGGTGAACGAACTTATCGGTACTTATTTCAAAGGCCGTGAAGAATCGCCTTTCAGAAATATTGCTTCTTTAAATACATCGCTGGTATAACCGTTATAAGTATTACGGTAATGAGAACCTATTACACCAAAAAGAATAAGTACTGTGGGAATGGATTTTTTACTGCTCTTCAAAACGAATAACCACACCCTAATGTCTCCATCTTACACATTTATGGCCTTACAAACTTTATTTTCTTCTTATTAGTTGTACGGCTTAGATTTACCATAATTCGATTTAGCTGTTTAACTCACTAAAAGAAATATTAATTATACACATAGTATCATTTAAAATGTGATATTCAGACTTTAACATAATTTTTTTATGGCATAGTAGATAACTTAGTTCTTGTGGAGTTTTCACAAATTTAGTTTATAGAGACACGCTTTAAAAGCTTAAGCATCAATGTAAGATACCCGTGATCCCATATAACTTTAAAAATACGTATTTGGTGACGTCATTTCCATACTTCATGAAATTATTAACGTTGATTTTACTTGCGATAACATTAGAAACCTATGATAAATAATCTATAATAACGTGCGATAAAACTAATTTTTAAATGATCTAGTGAACTGCACTAGTGATCTGCAATCTAGTGAATCACTTATATTATAAAATATTCATCAAATCCTTAGAAAAAATTTTCTTTGGGATGTAGTTCGCAAACTGGTGATTGGAGAGAGTTTTAAAGTAGACAGCTGCGTCTGCCGTGTTTTTGAACGTACAATTGTTACTGGCAAAGTTTGAAATCCGGCATTACATGCAATGCCTAAAACTATCCAACAATGCATGAAACGATTCATATTTCACACATTCCCAAGGCCTTCTGTGGAATGCTAAATGCGAAATAGCAAAGAGTGAAATATATCTCTGATTCGTATCGAATATCACATGGCGGTGCACGTGACTTTTAGAACGCGTCTCTGGCTCAGAATTTGTCCGTTGCATTTAGTCAGTTGCAGTTTGTTCGGAAGTGTCACGATGCGCAATTTTAGATAAATTTATTCGACAAAAAATTTATTGTTTTTACTGTGCTGCATAAAAAAGGGGGAGCAAGCAGTAGTGCTTAGAAAAGGAGTCATGGCCTATAGACATGAAATAATGATTCAACGATGAACAGTCCAAAATACGAGTTAATGCTGCAAAAAATAGCTTGTTCTTAACCGAAACTACTTACCAAAAATTAGTAAATGATGCACAAAAAGCCAAATAACACTTAAAAGGAACCCAGGGACTATCAGCTGCTAAATCGCTATGATGTGAAAAACAAAAGAACAAAAGTAAACTTATTTATCACGTTAAAGAAGATGTAAGATTATACAGTATTACTCAGAGTTATATCACGTACTTCATGAAGCTCACCGGAACCTTTTTTCATATGCTAATATAGCATTTGTCATTCTATGGTATGCCTAGGTATTATAGATAATTTCTAGGGAAAGTATGTAATAATTCTCATATTTCATACTTTACCTGAAATCGTTCAGCATTATTTACAATGTCAAGGTTTTCTAAAGAATGTCGGTGTTTCATATTTTTCAGTAACATCGCATCGGTTTAGAATTGCGGATTTGCATAAGGTGCATACACAAATACCCACATATAAATATTCTGCTTTATTAATATAAATAATTGAATAAAGGGGAAAAAAACACGATTTTTTGAACAAGCGATTTTATAAGGAATGCATTTTTGTAATCGTTTTCTAGTTTTCACTTTTAAACTTCTGCTGTTGAATTACATCTGACAAAGTTTTGTAAGATAAATTTAAAATATAGTAGCAGTTAATAAATTACAAGAAAATAACAATAAGATACAAAAGGTAAGATCCAAAAAGTTTAAAAAAAATATATGCAGTTTAAATGGAGGAAAAGAACATAACATTTTGCGGTATCAATTTTGTAAAGAACTTATTTTCGGAATATCCTTTTAGTTTTCAACTTTAAACTTTCGTTGAATTCTTCTGTTCAGGGCACTTGATGGGTCACTGAAGGATTTACAGAAATGATTTGTAAGCTGGGAATAACATGAAATTCAATTCCGAATTTCTCAATTTCCTTAGTGAAAATCTGAGAATTCATTTCAATAATCGGAAAAGACAACCAAATCTGTTGTTTTCTAGCAGCTTTGAACAAAAAATATAAATAAATAAAATTCCGATTGAATACAAACCTTGATAATAACACTTGATGATATGATTCTTTCGTAACTTTATAATCATAATTATTGTAAAGGGTTAATAATAACGTTTATTTTTCTTTTTTTACGATAACACGAGAATAAATATTTATTTAATTTTATACTATTAAAAATAGACAATGTTAAAAAATAATGAAATTTTAATACAATCTTATAATTTCTCTAGTGTAAAAAGGCTTAAAACTATGTTTCAAAGCAAATCAATCATAATATATGATATCTACTCTTTCAATCATATTAAGATATAAGTATCGTTTCTATGCTTTTTTTAAAACTAAATTATCTTCTATTTGGCTAAAATAATTTAGGAAACATTCTGAAACAGATAGAACGGAAATCATCAAATAAGTGCATTGAAATCATATAAACTAAATGCAATAAATCCATTTCCGCGTTTCCATGTGTATGGGTGGCAAAATAACAAAGGATATCTCCTCCTATGTAGTGTGGGAGTCAAATAATCTAACTCCATATTATTAATGGTCTAGGAAAAATAGCTCGGTAGCTCTGCGCAATATATTTATTCCACAGTTGATTGCATCCAGGCTTTCATTTCGAATAATAGCTGTAATGAATATTTACAGAAATGTGATCAATCAATCTTATTAATGAAGTCCACCCAAAAGATAAAAATTCTTTCTTGTACATCGGGAACAATAAAACATCCACTGAATTTACAAGCATAATTTTGACTTTATTTACATATTGTCGTTGGCTTTTTTAAAAATATTTTTTGTATCGGATAAATGTTAAGCAACTAAAGATAGTGTGTAAAATTATATAAAATAACCGAGATAAAAGCATTTTGTTAGCTATAAATCACCAAAGAAGAAAAGTGAAACTATATCAAATAAGTAAAAAAGCATATATATACTAGAAAAGATAGTGTTAAGTAAATTAAGGAAAGATAAAGTATTAAATTATGGCAGGAACCGAGATAAAAAATATTTAATAGAAAGGATAAGTGTGATGCAAAGAAAGAGTATGTAGAAAATTATATCAAATACCTAGATAGAAATCACTTATTAGAAAGGATAAGTCTTGAAAAAGCAAAGAAAAGTAAAAATTTATAACAGGTACTCAAATAAAAAGCATTTACAGAAAGGATATGTGTTAAAAAGCAAAGAAAGAATGTTTAGAGAATTACTTTAGGAACCGAGATAGAAATAATTTATTAGAAAGGATAAGTGTCAAAAAATTAAAGAAGGATAGGGTATAAAATTAGATCAATTACGAAAATAAGAAGACTTAGTAGGTAGGATAATTAAGTGTTAAAAAACAAGGACGGACAAATAAGCAAAATAAAAACGATAATGAAAGATCTACTACAATTAAAGATTTCTAATACTAATTAATCGTATATTTACAAAATGTTCCTTTAAAATTATTAAATTCAACACAAATTATAATTTATAAATGCGAAATAATTTTTAAGTAATTGTATAAAATTACACTAATTTTGTTTCGTGATGAACTATTACATCATTCAGATTTACTGTAACTACGCTGAACGATTATAGTCAAGCAAAATTATTGTTATTATTGCACAATATTATGGTTTATCTGGAATGGCAACAATGTACAATTCAACACCTTATTGATGTATCAGCGATTTTGTGCGATATTATGGTTTAGCGTTGAACAGATATTTCTGATTAGATGCTCGTGCGTAAAGATAGAAATTTTCTAACTCAAAATTAATTAAATGCTTGTAATTTTTCTTTGTCTCCTTATAAATTCCAAGCTAAATGATGATCTTAGATTTATTGATTATTTACTTACCTTGCTACCCTGAAAACGGTTATTCTGTTTGTGACGGATAAAAATAAAAGACAATATATACAGGTAAAGACCATTTTAACTTGTATTAATTATACGATGATGGCAGTCAAAGATGTTTGGAACCTCTTTGTTTATTAATAATCAAGGTAATATGACACTTATCTTTTCTGGATATAAAGACATGAAAACAACAATAGTTTTCGAATTTAATTTAATTTATTCACTTACTCTAAAAGAAAAAACAAAGGACAAATTTTAATCTTATATTAGACAGCAATACGGTTAATGATTGTTAACTGTAGATCTAGTTTTCTCAGTAACATTTTATATTCTAGCAGAGACATGCTGAGAGGGAATGAAGGGCGAAACGACCCCTGAAATTCTGTCAAAGGAGGCAGGATTCCTGCTAAGATTAAGAGTGCAGAATCGTCTTAAAAGCACGAAAACTTTCAGTCTACTATTGTCGCAATTTTTATTATAGCATTAAATTTTAATTAGGCAAATATTTGGCGTAAGCTAAAATAAGATTTTCACACAAATTTAATTCTCATTTATTCTCATAAATAATTTCTCATTAAAATTTAGATATTTTTTACATTTAAGAAAGCTAAGAATATTAATAATTTTTTTTACCAAAAAATAATTTCTTAATAGAGTTACATAAATATAAATTTAAAGTATGGATTCAAATTTTATAAACATATCGTTTCGTTTCCTTTAAATTAAATTGTCTCCCCAATACTTAATCCATTGTTGCAATCGAGGAATGTGCTCTAAGCATCCACATGCCTTTGTATTTTAGCACCTACATTTACGTTAAGACAAAGGGCAACGAACTTCCAAAATTAAAAGAAAAATGAAACGTCTGGTGCTACATTTTTCTACGCAAATACTCGAAGAAGGAAGATTCTTCATTTTTCCTCTTCATTGGTTACCTTCTGTTTCTTGGGGACTTTCGTCATCCATCTTTAGTTAGGAAACTTCCTCCCCGTATTCTTTTAGCCCAAAGTTAAGATCATAAGAGATGAGTAAGATCAAAAATGAGAGAGAGTGTTTACTTACTTGAGTTTCTTTTTTCTCCAAATCGCGCCACTGAATTTGAGTATGGTTCTCCGAGTCAAAGAATTCCTTGAGGGGTAGTAAGACATGCCCGATCGGATTGTGGTGTTTGCCCCTGTCGTTATCGAAGACTGTGAACTTAAGGGTTCTTTCACTTATTGATCGGTTGGGAAGCTGAAAGTTGTCAATGGGAAACAATATTAGATTTTTTTTTTATTATCGTAGCGTATTATAAATGATAATATTATACGAAGTCCCAACAAAACCAACAAATTTTAATTCAGTTTAATGTTAAAATTGCATTTAATGCAAACATGCAACAGTTTTGTGAGGAACAACACGTTCAACAAACTCATCACCGGTATTCCTGGTACGTGAGCGTTAATTTGATGAAAATGTTAATCATGGTTTAGCATAGTTATGTCTGGATTGTAGCATGTCTTCTTTTTTAGGCTACAGGGGACATAAAGGTGCTATCAAAAACTTCAAATAATCGTCGAGAAAGGAGTTGAAAGTAATATATCATGATCTACAATAGTAAGTGTATTAATATATATTAATAGAATCAAGAAAAAATATTCATATTTTCCAACTATAGGAGGAAAATGACTTGGGGTGATTTTCATACGTCAGGATCAAAGGACTCGTTCCTGTTGAAATAATGATGTAGAGCGGCCAGTACATGAAAATAATGGTATGCATGATATTTTGTTGACGCATGATATTATACCAGTACATGAATATTTTGTTATATACAAAAAGGCTATTTAAGAGTGGCTTAAGAACTTCGTGGATATTTACTCCATAAATAATCTGCCAGCAAAGGCTCAAAGGCTTGCAGAAGCAAAAATAACCTCGTTTTATTATGATTTCGGTATGGTACAGGGATAGAGAATTGTCGAAAACTGTAAAAATCTGATTGGAATCTATGCTGAAACTAATAAAACTGGTTCGGAAATTGAAAGGAAAGCATATTTAATATTAATTAAAAACAAAATGCATTAACGTTTCCAACAAACAATTGTTGTCTAAAAAAGTGTTAATTGCAATTAATATATAAATATAACTATATTGTAAAACATTCCGGTTCTAATAACGGTATAAAGTATCGGCACTTTGGGTGCATCATCCGTAAAATCTATTTTTAGATTAAAATATTATATCGTAATTCTTATAGTAATATATACTTAATCAGAGTGTGATTTAATGATTTTAAGGTGGTTAATACTGTAAAAATTAAGGTTTATTAGATTTTTTGCTCCGTAACATGCCCCAGTTAAAAGGGATTTAATGATAAAAAGCATTTACGGTATCCTGAGTGCCGATACTTCTTGCCGTAATTTGATCCAGAATTTTTTTTACAGTATATTGATAAAGCGAAAAATAGTAAAATCGGGATATGTTCAGACCAATTTCCTTACCATATCGTTACAAGTGTATCTAGTATGAAATTTCTAAACATAATTTTCCCTTCTGTATTTAGCAATTTTTCGCTGAAATAATATTTTTTTCCGCTCTTATTAGGATCAATAATTCTAGAGATTATGAAATGTAATTTAATTTGAGGCCACTCGAATGGATCCTAAGTTATTTCTTCCAAAAAAGCAGCAGGTACTAAGAAGAAAAAGATATTACTCATAAAATAAAATTTCAAGACCTATAATCTTTTGCATTGAAGTTACTTTCCGGTTTTTCTATAGAAAGTGGTTTCTTCATTTACATAGATATAAAGGTAGAAAGATCAATCACTCGACCAAACGGACGTCACGGGGAACTTGGACATCCCTGGTCTAGTAACTAGTAGTCCCTGCTCATTTTTTAGTTAAACACCTCTCTCGCCATGTCGAGGTACCATGGTCTTCTCTCAATTTAGACTCTTAGCCTTTCAGGCTTATTTTATAACATCCCTTGATTTCGTTGCATTGTATATATAACAAGTATTAGTTCACTTTTAATACAGCATAAATGATCAAGGTTTTTATACCATTCAACTCAAAAATCAATATAACCATTTTTCTTCTCTTTTTTTAATTAGTTTTTCTGAAAATAACATTTCACATCGATTTAAAAAATACTATTTTCCTTTTAAGTCAGTTTCGTTTAATTGCAGTTTTATTCATCTCATTTTCATTCTATGATCTGTACAGAAAATCATTATTTTTAATGGCCCGCGAATTTGACAATTATTACTGCTAGCTTTACACTTATTACAGATATTTTTCGGAGCAAAAATAGTAATTAAATGACATAGTAAAAGCAAATGATGCTAATCTAAATAAAATCGTAATTTTTTTATTTTATTTCAGACTAACATCACGGTTGAACGGGACTATATACACAGAAGAGCCATTACATTATGACCACCCTGCTAATAACATGTAGGATCACCTTTAGCCCTCAAAACTGCTAGCACCCGTCGTGGCATTGATTCCATAAGGTGCTGATAGGTAGTCTGAGGTATCTGGTACCAAGCGCTCACCAACTGGTCCTTTCAATTCCGTCACATTGCGGGGGGGGGGGAGCGTTGCAGCATGAATTTGGTTTTCCAAGTAGGACCACAAATGCTCTTCTGGATTAAGGTCAGGTGAATTTGGGGGCCAAGACATGACTTGAAAGTCACTGGAATGTTCCTCGACAATTCGACCCTTATGACATGGTGCGTTATTCTGTTGGTGAACACCATCCCCAGCAGGAAAAACTGTTGCCATGAATGGTGGTACCTGGGTCTGCTACTATGTTCAAGAAGCTTACAGACGTCAGGGATTGTTCTATGAGGATAATGGGTCCTAATGTGCCCCATAAAAACATTGTTCCTGGGCGAGAAACCATGAAAATCTGGGCGAGCCCATTGTTATAGATGGAGGGTGGTCATAATGTAATGGCTCTTCGGTGTATGGGGAAAACCTTTTCGCTGCATCACTGAGACATCGTAATTGCGACGACCTAATTCTCTTTTAAGAAATGTTGTACAAATGCTTTTCTAGATAAATTTCATATTTAAAATCACCTCTACGTCTATAATAAAAATTTTTTTATTTTGTTTTAAGTGAAGATTTAACAATACATTTTATGTAATTTCTTTGTCGATTTAAGTTTTTAAAAACTGCCATTATTCCATTTCTTCACTCGCAAATTCAATTAAAAATAATTCACATAATAAAATCCACCGAGAAAGTCACGGATAACGGTTCAATAAATTTATCGTATCTTAATACTCATAACGTATACCTTATTTCTAACAGGATTAGTTTATTCCCTTTTTCTGATATTATGTCAACAGGCAGTGCTTTTGTTTTTTCTACTCTTTATAAGTATTAAGAGCGGTAAAAGGATCAATAGGGTGGGTCGCTTTCGCCAACAGATGACATAAATCCAGTGGCCGACGGGCTGACAAATTGTATTTTGATTTCGATCGAAAAAATTCTCCCTGTTCTACAGTTGCCCAAAGGGGCTAACATTGCTCAGGTTAAGGATAATTTTAACCTATCCTTCAGATATTAGCCTTATTTTAGAAGTGTTCCTGTGAGAAATATAGTTATCGAACAGTCGATGTTAAAGCTGATTGTTTTGGAATATATATTAATATTTTTAAAGACAGATATGGCAGATCTTTATTTTTAACATTTCATTCTTATTTTGATAAACAGAAAAACTTAATTGCGTAAAATTGATGATAGAATGTGCAACAAAACTCTCCATGAATTAGATGAAACGAGTTTGGTGTTTCGTTAATTCTTTGAAGCGGAATTTTTACTAAACGTATTTTTCATATCTTTTGTTATTATTTTGTATTAATTTAGGTCAAAATAAGTAAAAATTATTATATTTAGCATTATAATAATTTGTGTTTATGAAATACAGCATGAAATACAGGTGTCTTTTTTTGCGCTATAGGTAAAATCTTCACAGCTTACTTCCAAACAATAGTTTTATTTTTTGTATTTATTTGCAGTTATTTAGATCTAACAAAAACAGTTATTTCTCATTGAAATTTTTTTAATTTGCATAATTAATTATTGATACATTTTTGAATATGAATGAAAATAATTTTTTTCAAACCATTTTTCTTTTATTTTATATTTTAGCATACAATTTCAATGTTATATAAATATAATTCCTATAATCTGACAGATTTTTTTTATTAATTATTAAACTGTTATTTATTCTTAAAAAACACCAAAATATATTTTGCCTAGCCTCAGAAAAAAAATATGCAAAAGGCACACCTGTGTGCCATTCGCATCAAAGGGGACACCAGTCACTTACGTTAACTATAGGAGTAATAACTATATGAGTAATAAAAAAAGTACATGCTAATAATTACACATTAAAAATTTATTTTCCCCGCATCATTTCCCATGATATTTCTTTTCATTTAAATCTTCTTCACAATATAAATTTGTATCCCTGTCTCGTGATTGTTTTCTCTCTTATCTTCTGTCTAGTTTTGGGATATAATATTAATTTTACATTGATTTTTTTTAAAACTAATTTTTGAAATGATTAGCTCTATATCAGAATTTCAAATAAATTATAGCATAGTCACTCAAATATGGTTATGTTCATAAATTACGCAAGCTATGTTAAAAATAACGAACTTACTGCTTGCGTTATTTGATAATAATTCAAATTATTTATTTAGAAGAAGTATTATTAAGTATTTATTTAGAGGAATAATAACGAAGAATTGATAAGTATATTGGCAACGTGATGATAAAAAAAGCAATGGATTTATAACAACGGCAGGATTTAATTTATTTCTAACTTTATTGATAATTTATTTCTATGTTTATAAATGTTTCGACTATTTTTCAATAAAATAAAATAATAATAATAAATATTTACTAAAAATTATATTTTGCTGGGAATCATCTTTGGATAAACAAATTTTACAATAGCAAATTTTTTTTGAAAGTTTGCTTAAAAAGTTTTTGGGACATGGTGAAATAAGCAAAAAGATAAACTAGCATTAAGTGGTCTAAAAAATTAGCATCCAAACACTGGACCACTCTCCTCACCAAACTATTGGGACCATATTTCCCAGATTACGACTACTTCCTATATTTCAGGGGTCAATAATCTGAATCTGTTGAAAAAATGTACGTTTATTCAGAGAAAGTACGTTTTTCTGTCTAATTTTGTAACTTAAAAAATCGTTTGATTTAATTAGTTAGCATATTTGAAATCACCCCTTTTAACTATTAAGATTGAGTCCTAATACGTGATGATCCGATCATGTGATCAAAACCTATTTAAGTTGATACTTTTATTTATTTATTATTATTTTTTTTGCTTACTGTACAAGCATAAACTCTTTCGACAAGAATAATAAAAGCGCAACAGAGTGATTAGTTTAAACTCGCAGAAAAACTTTGATTTTGAACTATATATACTCTCTTGTTGAGAAGAATTGACTGAGGTTTGGAATAGGCAAATATTTTAAGTATTTAAAATAAATGAATCTTTTTTAAAATAAAAACCGACATTGAGAATTAAAATCAAAGAAAGAATTCCACTTTCTTGCGAGTCCAGACAATGTAGTGGGTTAAATTCTCTAATGTTAAAAATTATCCTACAAGCGCTTTTCATTTTCAAAATCCGTGACTCTTTTTCTTGTTGTTTTGCATCATTTTGGTAATCATCTTAAAAAACACTACCTAGTGAGATACCATACGTAACATAAGTATGAACAACTGTTTTCGACAACAATGAAAGTAGCATTTTGTACGATTGTAAGAGTGATTACTTATGAAACATCCTTAGAAGGATTAACCGGACTTAACCGGATTTAATTATTTTCCAACTAAAGTGTAACGGTGTTTGGATAAAGTTTCAAAAATTCCAAATAAATAAGAATTACTTGAATAATAATCTGATTTACAAAGGATTCATAAGACAAATCCCCTCATTCGTAAACAGGATTTGATTTTTTTTCTCTTACGAATTAAAATTTATTTAAAAATACAAAAACTTTAAACTATATTCATTATTTTATATTTGCGAGATTTAGAAATTTTTAAATTAGTTTTTTTAATTAAAAACGCGTTTGAGAATGTGATAATAAGGCTTTAGCATAAGCAGAATTAAATTCTTAATAATTAATTTTTTGCATAAATATTTAAAATAAATATTTTTGGCACTCTATTTAATTTATCTACTAGATTATCTTTGTGGATAATTCCCAATGAGTGGAGCAGAGTATTATACCTGATGGAAGAAACTTTTGAAGACAGCTTTGGCCTACAACAGGCTGTAGAGCTACAGAAGAAGATTATCTTAGTAATAGAAGTGACGTTTTACTTACCTGAAATAGAAAAGTTTCATCAAATTTAGGGTTACATGTTTTCTTTTTAGGTCTGGACTGTAAATATCTTCGTTCATCAGGCATAAGATAGATCCTGAAAGATTTATTAAAACAAATGGAAACAACCATAAGAGTAAGTTTTATCACTTTTAGTTCAATTCAAAAATACCATTCAAAAGAAGCTATGTTTGATTATTGATGCACATTTTATTTCTTTTTATATGGAATTCGAAGGAAAAACCATTTTATATCACCGTTTCCCCTTAACAAGAATTGCTTAGATGGAAGATTTTCAATTTTAAAAAATAAATTTCAAAATGCATAATAAATAATTCAATTTTATTACAGTTTGTTATCGGCTTTTTTTTAATAACATCCCTCTATAAATTGTTTAAGCATGCAGAGAAAAAAAAATATTCGAATCTATTTGAAATTTTAGATGCTAATGAATTGTATAAGTTTATAGTAAGTGAAGTAGATGATAAAAAATAAAAGTTTCGGAGGCTTAGCTTCAATAACTAAGCAAAAACAAAGGCTAAACAAATTAGACATACATTTTACGTTTAATTATTTTCTATTACATAATTAATTATATGACTAAAAATGCAAGTTCTGAAATAAAACAAAATCGCCTAATATACTTCACTATGTAGCAGACAAGTTCACGCTCATACAGCGTTAAATATTGAAACTGTTGAAATATTGTTGTTTCAAATAACTAACGAATGCTGAAAAAAATGAGATACAGAAACGTCTTTAGTTAAAAACATCCTCTTTTCTGCAATCTCTATTGATATATTCAAAAACTATTCTTGATTCTTTTTAAATCTATTTCCGAAATATCTCAGAAATATTTATGAGACTATATTCTGTCAAAATTTTTACATCGTCTGAAACGCATAAAGCGGTATTTTGTGCCGCATAGTAAAGATAAAACTAGTTCATCAGAAGTTTCAGATGATGAGAAAAATTTATATTACATGAAATTGAAACAATGTTGCGTTGAAATGAAATATAGGAATACTTCGTATTAAATGAAAGACAGGACACAAAAATGAGCTATTTTGAATATTTTTCTTACTAGCTAAACTGAACGTGCGTAAATAAAGAGTATTTCAAAGGGTGAATTTTGTTTCATTTGCATTGTTCGAGCCACTGATAGCTCAGAGTTATTAAAAAAGGAGAGCTACACTTCATAACGAAACATTTTCATCGCTGAGCAATGTTTTGAGTATTGTTGAGTTATTTTCAGGCCGTGTAATTTCTCGTTTTCATGATCTGGGTTGCCACCAACATCATACAATTCAATGCCATAGAAACCTTATTCTTTTTTTAATTATAAGGTTTATTTCAAAAAGGTCATACTATAAGGTTTATTTCAATAAACCATCAATAAGGCTCCACGCCTTATAGAGTGCTGCATTAAGAAAATTCAGCCATTTTATGCAAAATGTTTATTATGAAAATAATGACGAAAGAGTTCTCGTGTACAAGTAAAACTGCGAAAACTATTGACCGCTATGGTATTTTATGTATAGTCTTATATTGTGCACTTTATGAACCAATAAGAAATTCATGGTCAAGATATGTGCTTTCTTTTAAAACTCTTCCTTGTGCTAATTTTAAATCACCCTGTAGTTAAATATAAAAATTATTATTACCATTTAAAATAAATGAAATTTTCTTTTACTGCTAGAATTTAAATCTAATAAAAAGTTTAAGTTCATAAAATAATCTACACAATAACAAACGATCTTAAAAAATTAAAAGTTGGCTATTTTTATAAGTTATACCAAGAACAGTAAAGTACCACATGTTTCGGGGCTATGCCAAAGCCGGCATGGATTAATTTGCTTTTGACATACTCAACTGACATAATCCCTGTTAATCCCCCCGAGACTTACCTTTCCTCACCCTTATGGCTTAACTTATGGCTACAAAAATATTGCATTTTCAGGAAAAGAATTTTAGATTGATAACACATTTTTCCTTGAACAACGAGAATAGATTGGAAACAAGTTATTGAGACAAGATGATATATTCTGTGCACAAAAATCATAGGAAAGTTTATAAATTTCTTTTGGTTGTGCCAAATATTTCTTTTAAACTTGCATTTCGTATCATAAAAAAGAGGTCATATAAAATTTTTCAAAAATTTAAATTTTATTTTTACAATTTTTAATAGTAAATTTTTAACAAACAATTGTGAACGCTTAATTTTCATAATGATGAATAGTTGTAAGTGTTAGACAATTATTGTTCTCTAAGAGAAAAAAAAACTTTTAACAAGCAAAGCACAAAAATAATTTTTTCCTATACTTTTTTTTATCAAGCACCAATTAATTAAAGCAGAAAACGACGTGAGTAAAGCACAAATGAAAATACATAAATTGATAAATTTATGTTTTTTGTCGATTTACGCATTTTCAGTTGTGCTTCATACACGTTATATTTTGCTTTAGTCTACATAGCACAAAGTATTACATTTTCCTTTGTTGGACACCAATTAATTATTAACTTCAGAATAAAAAGAGGAAATAAATTTTTCTTAAAAACAAATCCTTTGTTAATAAATCTAGTAATTTAGATATATGTAAATATTAACTTTTTATGTACAAAGAAAACTTAAATACCTCTAGTGAATATTTCAGGAAAAGAAAACTATTTTTCCCCATATATTTTTTAATTATCATTTGTATGAATTTGTATGTAAAAACAATAAAGGTGTTAATTCATAATTAATCATTCGGAGAAGTTTTACTTTAGCAGTTTTCAAGCTGGCAATTAAGTATCATTCTCGATTTCGTCAACTTCGATTTTTTAGGAAATTTAAAAGATATACATGTGACACTTTAACGCAAGAGGGAAATTGATGTAGTATAAAAGTTTATATAAAACATAAAGCTTATTATTTTAAAGATCTTGCAGTCACATGCAGCATAATCAGCATAATATGGTTTAGTAACGTTTGATTCACGTTACATGATGAAAAATCTCTCTATTTTATTCGGTTCTATTACGTAACCAGCTCTGCTTTGTGTCTGTTTGAGAAAGAGGGAAGTTCTTCGCACGCTTCAGAACCGGTTTTTGTTTATGTCCAGAACAAAGTTGTGGCCTGGATGAGACAAATATTAATGTTTTGGTTTAAAGCTCGGTTAACTATTAATTTAGCTACGTCACAGAGGCAAGAGTTGACTAGTTATCCATCAGCGTACAATAGCGTACATCAAGAGCCATTAAGACTTGGCGCTCACGAGAAAACTTCTTAACTCTTGCCACACGCCTAACCGCGTTGATTTTAATATTAAAATCAAAAAATTTTAAATCATTTCAGTAAATTTAATATTAAGCTTTAATTATAAGGAATTAATTATTATTTAACAATTCTTAGTCTCTTCCATTCGTTCTACAACTAAAAAAAAAAAAAGAAAAAAAAATCAGTTTTTTTTTTTCTACCTTGTATTCAATTTCTTGTTGCAAGGGTATTATTTTTAGCTTTGTTTTTAAAAAAATAAATTAAAACTAGTGTTCAAAATATGATAATTCTCTCACTATTTAATTTTAAAAGAGTTTATTATATTCCTTACTATAATTTTTAGAGAAATTAAGTAGCTTACTTTCCCGGGGTGCATCCCGGTAACGTACTAAACTAACATCCCTCCAAAAAGATTATGCGGCTAAGAGCTTACGAAGTTTAAAAAAATTTGGACATTTTAAAGACTTAATCCCCAATCCTAAAAGTCGCTCAAAAATTTCCTTTAGATCATTTGGGAGAAATATTTGAAAAGTGCAGTATTTTTTTAATTCGTTTAAATCCATCTACTGATAAAAATAAATAGACTGATAATTCTGTTTTCTCAAATATTTTAAGGATTACATCAATAATATTTGCTAGCTTATAACTCTAATTTAAAAAAGAGTTTATTGCACATTTTTAGATATTTAATTATTTTTTATTCGTTTCGTCTGATAAACTCAATGATCAACATGAGCGTGGTAGCATAGGCAGACTTCGTCACCAAATTAGCATTCTTAAAGTAATTTGACACCCCATGTTTAAATTACTTCTATTTAGGCTATAAAAAGGTGTTTATAGGAAACTAAATAATTTAAAATCAACGGTATTTGAAATAAAAAAAAAGATTTGTATCAGAAAGCAATAATAATTTAGAAAGCAAATTCGTTTAACAGAGCATAAAAAAATCACCAAATCGTTGACGTCAATGTTGCCCAATAAATTTTTGTAATGGGTACTAATTGAAACAAAACATACGCTACTTACAAAAATAGCACAATTAATCGAGAGATAGTAAAATTCACTGAGGAGAAACGAGAAAAAGTCGCCATACTATTATTTAAACCAATGTTGCTTAATTAATTTTGGTAATAGACACTTTTGGTATTATAGGAATTGATGCAGTTTTAATAGTTACCAAATATATTAATATAGGTATAATTATTATATTTGTTATCTATTCAACTGTGAAGTCTTAATATAGATACTGCGTAAAGAGGTCTTTACGGGCCTCTAATGGAATTATAAGAGAAAATCATTTGATTGTGGTAAATTTTAACGGTTACGAGTTTGTCTTGAGTAACAGTATCATGCCAAATGATACTGAATGCAGACAGTCTCTATTTTGATTGGATGAAAGACTAAAACCGCTTGTTTTTTTAATCTCAAAGTCATCAGTAAGGTTAAGAAATAGTATAATAAAAAAATTGATATTACTGTAGATTTAATTGTGTTGGTATTTGCCTTTCAGTTTTGTGCATGAATTCGTAGTGTTGTTCAGTACTAATTTATTGTTTGTTTGCGTTTTTTCATCAATTACGGAGAATGACCATTCAGCTAGTAATTAAATAAATTGTTATCTAAAAAGGGAAAACAAAGGATTATACCTTACGAAAGGATCACAGCAGTTGACAGCCCCATATACTCTGCTTGGAATATTTTTAGCTTTTACTAATCGAACAATCAGTCTTTCAGTGGCAACATCATACTCAACTCCGAACCAAAGACGACCGATGTGATTTTCAGGGAAATTGTCTTCCTCTGACTTCTCCTCTGGGACAGATTTGTATATTTCTGGATTTAAACCTCCCAGTAAAGTAGGACCTAAATAATATTTTCATACCTTCAAAACCAACATATCTTTCATAAAATTTAATATATAAAGTTCATTTTTAATACATAAAGTCTAATACAATTTTATCGCAGCTGTATTCCAGTGACTTAAGATAATTGCGTTTCTTAGTCATATAGACACGTATAATAGAAAGTCTAAGTAATCTGAGAATTTTGCATCGTATTAGGTACATTTTTAAAGAGAACAAATTAAAAATTATTAATAAAAGAGCTAGGAACAGAAAATGTTTGCAGCTTCTAGTTACATTTATTTAGCGTACAAATAATTATAAACTAAAAGTAATAATTACGTTTCTTAATCACATGGACACTTATAATAGGAAGTCTAAGTAATCTGAGAATTTTACATTCTAATAATCGATGGAATTTTGCATCTTATTAGGTACATTTTTAAAGCGAACTAATTAAAAATGATTAATAAAAGAGCTAGAAACAGAAGATGTTTGCAGCTTCTAGTTGTATTTATTTAGCCTACAAATAGTTATAAACTAAAAGTAATAATTACGTTTCTTAATCATATGGACACTTATAATAGGAAGTCTAAGTAATCTGAGAATTTTGCGTTCTAATAATCGATAGAATTTTGAATCTTATTAGGTACATTTTTAAAGCGAACAAATTAAAAATCCTTAATAAAAGAGCTAGAAACAGAAGAACTTTGAAATTTCTAGTTAAATTTATTTAGCGTACAAATAATCTATACATAATAATAAAAGCGGCTGTGTGTCTGTCTGTAATCACAATATATCGCCCCAGAAGCCTCGCCCAGGCACGAAACTTGACACAAAATTGTGTTTTGACATAANGCGTACAAATAATAATAAAATAAAAGTAAAATTGTTAGAATTATAAAGGTGTTCGTTTTTATTCCTAATAATATAGCACGACTTCTGTAGGGTACCGGTAACGTTTTTTCAATATGATCCTTAAAGAAGAAGATTTTAATAGTTAATGTATCATACGACAAAAATCAAAAGTAATTTTTTAAGTAAAAGTAGAAAACTTTGTTATTGCGTCTTACAGTACTGGGTATCACCTAGTACAGCGAGTAGCACAAAGCTATCAGAGATTGGGTTTTGAATCCCAATGTAGAACAGAATAATTAAATTCACTTATCTCGCTGAGGGATTTTAGGGAGGGGCTCAGAATAAGGCTCTTCTTTAGTGGTAGCTGTACTGTCCGCCATTGTCGAGCAAATAAGTTCGTTAATTAAGTAGTGTTAACATTAGCGTGAGAGTTCGAAGCCCATTTAGATACTTATAATTATTGATCTGGGCAATTGCGTAGCAATGAATTGTGCAAACAGTTTAAACGGTTTCTAATGTTAAGAATTTTAATTTTTATCAGATCTCGAAATAGAAAGAAGAAATTGGTAATAAATTGCAGAAGATATCGCTGGCAGCCTGGAAGTGGAGCTCGCTTATCTGAGGTAAAAACTCATTTACTTATAATTTATTGAATTTATTTACTTATATCTGTAGTATATTAACGACCTGAAGTTTTTAGAATTTGTTTTCCAATGTCTGATTCTTTAAAAATAAATAAGCGAATAACTTTTCTTGGTTACTTGAATTGTTCAGTTCTAACTATATATCGAATATAAGAATTTCCATTGAAAATTGCATCAATTAAGTAAATACTTATTTGAAATATGACCTTTAAGCAACATTTAATAATTTATTTAACAATTTTGAATGTTTGTGTGGTATAAAACCAAATAAAGGCAAGAGATTGGCTGAATAAGTTTTCGCCAAACTTTTCTCGAATCGCCAAGTTTTGTACTCACCTTAAGTGCTTCCTTTCATTTTGTTAAAAATAAATATTTGCCTGTTTCTAATTGTATTTAATTTTGATTTACTAATATATCATATTTTTAGCTTTTTAATCCTGGCTCATTTAAAATTTTTTAGTTACTTATAATATATCACTTAAAGTTCAAACTGTTTTTTTAATAAGAGATCTATTTAATTTGCGATCTTCCATACGTTTTTGGATCTATAAATGTTATCTTTTTTATTTGAAATTCTTGTGATTAATTGCTGAAATAATTAGGGCCTGTGGTAGAAAAGTTAATGGGAATATGTTTGCAAAATTTAAACTCTGAATATGTGATTTAATTTAAGTACGAAAATAAAAACAGTATTTAAAATTTTCTACATTCATTTCGTAGAATCTCAACTTAAATACGAAGGATGGTAAAAAAAAAAAATTAAGGCCTGATGCTATTCCAAATCCTTTAAAAATCCTTTAAAAGAGAGATTCCTTTAAAAAGAGAGAATGGATAAGTTGTCCAAAACAATAATCAATTTTAGATGAGCTTAAATCTAATGTAAGTATAAATTTACTGATTCTTCTCCCTTTGCTTGTTTCTTTATTTAATAATTATTAAAAGGCTAAAAATGTGAACAGAATGTTTCTATCTAATAATGAATAATAGTTTTCTTTTAAATAACAAAATAATTAAATTTTTAATTAATTTATTCAAGTATTAAGAAAAAATTTTCCGAAAAAAAGTAAATCGATGTATGCTCACACATTTTTCTTTGCGAATTATCCTAGTTGAGGTTAGTATCGTTCGTAGCAATAAGTTGCCAAATCTTGTAGCTCTTCCGCATTGGGGAAAGGTTTTGCTCCAAAATGGCGGACGAGTGGGCATATCTAATTCAGAGGCTCTAGCCCAGAAGAGTTATTTAAACTTGACGTCACATTTGTGTACTATCTATTGGTTAATGAAAACGAGGCCTAGATTCAATAGATGATTATAATAAAGCACTTTTCTTTTAATCATGCTGTTTTGCTTTATTTATACATAGTTCAAAGTATACCCTATCTTTAATTGAAAAGTAAATCTATATTGCCATTTTTGGAATTTCGACTAATTTCCGAGATAAAAAATACAAACTAAAAATAAAAAGATCAAACAGGCGCAAAACTTTAAAAAAAAACATGAAAAATTAATTCAAAAATTATAATATTTGAATTATTATATTTAAATTACAATATTTAAATTTTTGAAAAAAAATTTAAAACCACGTTTTTCAAGAGGAGAGGAATGGAGGAATTTTTTTTTTTGTTCAACCTAAAACGAAAAACGTAGTTTGCATCACTTTCGTAATAAACTACTTTCACTAAAGAGCCCCCCCCCACGTCACTAAAAAGTGATGCGCTCTACCTTTTTTTGTCTTAGGTGTGACAAAAATGGTATACGTCATTCTAATATAACACTTGAAAAACGTGATTTTTAAAATTTTTTATTCTGTTTTATTACAAGTATTCTTAAATACAACAGTGGCTGTAAAAATATTTAAAAACGGGAATTCTCAAGAGACTTTTATAGAATTAGAATTTTTTTTTTACCTCCTTCTAACTGAGACAACTTTGTACACAGAGCGCCAGCACTTTCGATGGAATTTGCTGTCACTGCAGGGTCTACAGGACTTGGTAGGGTTGTTACAGGAGCACTTGGTACAACGAAATCAACTGGTTTTTGAGTGCTGAAAGAAACCACACCAAAAATCTTAAAAATATAGCCTTATCGTGAAAGAGAAACAAATTATTCACTGGACAGACATATCATAGGTAATTACCTATGGTATATATTTTAATAATTCATAGCCAATATCAATGCCATTTTTGCTACATATTTATTAACTCGCTTTTGCATCTGTGACGATTCCCTCTCGTGATTAAAATTTCATCCACTTTATGACTAACTAGAGCACTCAATTCTCAACTGCAGCTCCGTGTCTAGTTAGCTAGAAGTTTTATTTTTACTTAAACATTGTAATGAATGTAATGAATTAAGCATTGTAAAATAATGATTACAAAATTGTAAAAAACTTATTAGGAAGTTTTTATACTAACCAAAAATTAATTTAGATCTTAAAAAAAATTACAATGACGTTGATGAATTAAACGAAGTGACTGAATTAAATGATTTTTCATCACAATAGCATTGAAAGCTATGAGTAAATCTGTATTAATACTATAAAACAATTTGAGTTTCTTCAATTGAATGATTTTATATTTAGATGGAGCTATCTTACCGTCAAAAAAACAAAGAAGAAAATGATTGTATAGCAATCAAGGAGCTTGGTGGGCGAAGTAAGCAGGGGATAGGGAAACCCAATTTAACTTCGTTACAACGGTATCTACTAAGGAATATAATTTGATAAATCGTATTTGATAAACTGTATTATTTGTTCTCAATATTTTTCATAAAATATTTAGTTGCCAAAAATTCAGCTAAGCTTTTATGTCTAAAATAGGTCAATATTAAATTACTCAATAATGTTGCTTTAAATCTTTATTTTTCATTTTTAACGTTGGCTAAAATGGAATTCTTTTCAAAACTAGACTTATTTAAAAATAAATAATAAAAAAATAATTCTCTTTTAAAATTAATTAGCCTTTTATTAACTTAATTTCGTGAATCCTTTTAAAAGAGAAAAATTGCTTTTTTTAATATAAAAATTGCAAATTTAAAATATGACAGTACTCACTTAAATAGTTGAAAGAATTTGAATATTCGAAATTTATTTCATTGTTTTCCCTGAAGGATTTTAAAACAGAAACAGCTTACATTTATTAAAAAAAAAACTCTTAACAAAATAACCTTTACTGCATCTAGTATAAAAAAAGGTATTCTTGAATATTTACTTACAGATCGATTACATTTCTTTTCTGTGTATTTTTGCAACTTTTTTAGCGGAAACTTTAAAATTGTGTAAAACATGACATTTTTGATTTCCATCTTTTAAATTTTATACTAATTTAGTATTATTTCTCCACTTTCAAATTATTTTTTTCAACTCATCTTTTTTTTATCCATTTTCCATAATAAAGATCAAAGAGAAAGAATAATTTATGTTCATGAAAGCTGATTCTGAGAAAAAAACGAATTTCAAGACGGGCATGTACAGCTTTTCTTCATCACGGTCTATTTTCACTGCGTAATAACTCTCGGGGCGAACTGATTTTACACGTTATTGGTTTGACAAAACTTACACTGTTAGAAATTTCTCGGAAGAAATGTTTAAATAACAATTGATTGCATGGCTATTTTACCATATTTAATCAACACAGTCAAATAACCGTAAATGAAATGGTAATCAAACTGTTAAGTTTAAGAAAAACTGTTTATTAACTGCTTTCACCTAATACGGTTAAACAACCAGAATTTTATAGCACCAACTGGAACCACCTAATGAAACTACTTAGTTCTTCGCTACTGCGTACATATCATAGCCGAGCGGGCTCATCTGTCAATCTCATGACCATCAGAACTGGAATTCCGAGTTCTAGTGTTGACACTACAATATTTTCTCCATTCCCATCAACACGTGAAGAATTCCCAGTGTCCGGCACTCTCCAATGACCATTAACTTACGAAAAGCCGAGCTTCTATGTCTAATTAAAAAGTTATTACGTTTTTAAAAAATGCTAGCTGCAAATGGTTAAAAAACCGTATAGTTTTGTATTCATGGTTTTAGAACGATATTTTTGTAAATGGTTATAATACCATAAAGGAAAAAAAATTTCTTTTCCGTAAACTTCATGGTTAATCGGATGGACAGACAGCTGCCAGTTATATTACCGTAATTTTAGAAGGAAAATTTTAACAGTGTAGTAATACTCAAAATGCAACAGGTGGTAATTTAATCTTCATGTTATGTGAAAAAATCAAGATGAACTGTTTTCCCCACTTGATCTTCACAGGCATATTTAGTCCCAAACATGAAACTAGTGTTATAAAAGTGGCTCATTTAATATATTTGTCTTAAATTTTTTCACATTCGAATACTATCAAATAAAGAAACAAATATTTTAAGCCAAATAAATTACTATATTATAAAAATTTAATAAACAAGTAAATAAATAATTTAAGAAAGAGAGGAAGAAAAGAAAATGTCAGAAACATTTGCATATGCTCTTGAAATCTGCATTGGGAAAAAAGTATGGCCACAACTATTAGAATATAGCACAATTTACCTTGTTTCTGGCTCTATGGGAACATGATAAAGCTTGAGAGTTTTTACCGAAGCACTTTGGTAATGATTTTGGCAAAATTAATTGTAAAATATTGTTTTAAATTATGCGACAAAATTTGGTAAATGTGCTAAAATTTGGTAATTTCATTAGGATACCTTAGAGCATGGCATAAAAACCATTTATTTGATTAAATTTATTTCACAGTTTTATATTTTTTACTGAATTTGTGGTGGTAAGAACTATAATTTTGAAACCGGAATTTATGGTTTACCATATGAACGGAAAAATTACCAAATGAATGAGGAATGATTTAACTACCGTATGCTTTGATATTATAACCCAAAATTATCAGAACTGTTTTTTTTTTACCAGAAAGCACATTACCACACAGTACGGTAATGTCACCAGAGTTTTCCGTTGTGTGATATATTAATTTATTTAAGCATAAAATTTTAGCATTCGAAATTTATTTTTATTTATTTTACAAAAAAGCCGTTTGAAGTTTTTCCCCCCCTCAAATCTTTGTTTCATTTTGCTTCTTTTATGAAATATTCTTTCCATTATCTTCTGCACATAAAAGTTTCGAGAATCATTTCTTTAATGAATAACCAAAAATTCTTTCCTCTCTTATTGCTCCTTTGCGTTTTTCTAAACTGAGGTAAAGAGCAATTCCGCCAAAACATTAGAATACATTTTCTTGAGTGCATTTCCCAAAACTAAAAATCTAATTTAAGCACTTAAATAATATAGAATCATTCGCATATCCAAAGTTCAGACCTTTTTTTAAACTCACTTTTACGTATGAATCATGCTTCTTTAAAATATGAAAGAACTTGAATAAGAACTTTTTTTGAAAAGAGAATATTTTAAGAGGAATATAAACAAAATTTGAGCTTGATAACACTACTTATTTGGTTGACACAAAAAAAATGGAAGTAACGAAATTATTACTTCTAATAATAGTTTTTGTCGTTAACAAAAGCACTTATTTTAATATAAATTTGCAATTTAATATTTTTAATTTCATAAAAAATATGTCTTAAAATATGCTAATTAAGTAACGCAGATATTATTTAAGTTAGATAGTCATTCCCCAAAAAGTGTTTCTTTTTAAATAAAAAAACATTTATTTAAACGGATGCAAATATTCACCCCTCAAGATAAAGGACTCCATCTGGGGGCTGAAGCAGTTCAATCAGTAGAGCGGTCTAAAAAGTACAATTAGCATTAAGTTCCTTTTAGTACTTTTTATTACTTTAGCACATTTCGCCATATTTAAACAAACAAAATCATTATTGAATACGTTCATTAAACTCTTTTATCTAAAGAGAAGCACAAAAATAATTTTTTGTACTCATTTGTTATTTTTCACTATTAAATTTAATAATAATCACAAAAAAAATTTGCATTGTCAGGTATGCAAATTTTTATTTCAGTTCAGACAATGTAATTTTAAATAACAAAATCCATAATTTCCACTAAATCGTGCAATCAGTTCCCGAGTAAAATTTAAAAACTTTTTTGAAGTCTTATTGTTCAGAAACTGTTTGTGCATTTTCAGTCATGGGTTTATTGTAGCATGATTCACATAAATTTTTTGTGACACATGAATGAAAACTCAACAGTGGAAAGAATTAAGTAAACGAGGTTTATCGATAAATAGGAACGTCCGAAAGTAGTATAGAAAATGCTAGAAGTAAGACGTGGATTAATTCCATAAATATCAGGAGTGTCACCACCACTGGACTGAACTTTTAACTTTCATCAACATTACGATTGACACCACCCCAGAATTGAACTCCCAATTCCATTACCACCACTGGACCTAACTTTTAACTCCCATTAGCATTAGGATTGACACCACGAAGGTATTGAACTTCCAATTCTATTACCATAGGGTGAATGAACTTTTAAGTCGCATCAACATTAGGATTGACACCACCAAGAGATTGAACTCCCAATTCCATCATCACCCCTGTACTGAACTTTTAACTCCTATCAGCGTTAGGATAGACACCACCAAGGAATTGAACTTCCAATTCCATTACCACGACTAGACTAAACTTTCAACTCCCATCAGTAATAGGATTGACACCAGCAAGGAATTGAACTTCCAATTCCATTACCACCACTAGACTAAACTTTTAACTCCCATTAGCATTAGGATTGACACCACCAAGGAATTGAAATTCCAATTCCATTACCACGACTAGACTAAGCTTTTAACTTCCATCAGCAATAGGATTGACACCACCAAGGAATTGAACTTCCAATTCCATTATCACAGGGTGAATGAACTTTTAAGTCCCATCAACATTAGGATTGACACCATCAAGGGATTGGAATCATAATTTTATTACCAGCACGGAAATGAAATCATGGACACACGCATCACAGCAGCACACGCAAAATCAGTTGAGGTTCATAAAACCCATAACAGTTATTCCACTCCTGAATTCAATTAAAATAATGTTAATGTGACGAATCTGAAATTTTGAGGTTT